ACCTAGCAATTAAGACCTCAATTGAGAACTCCATGTCCCATATCAGTGTGCCTGTGTTCAATACCCACCTATTGCTTCCTGCTACTGTGGACCTTGGCAGGCAATAGATAGCTCAAGTACTGGGTCCCTGCTGTCCATGTGGGAGACCTGGACTGAGTTCCCAGCCTCAGCTTCAGCAGTGGGGAGTGAAACAGCAGATGGGAGCTCTGTCTCTTACTTAAATGGGACATGCCATTTTTTCAAAAAAAAAATATATATATATATAAATATGCACACATATATTATAAAACTTAAAGCAACTACTTACAAAAACAAAAACACTGCTATAGTTTGGGTGCAGCCCTAGAATTCACACAAAGAAAATTTAATCTCCAAAGCCATTTGTTGGCATTTTGAAGTGAGCTTTGGAAGGCAATTAGGATTAGATGAGATCATGAACAGCCCTCCCAAATGGTGCTATTGGATTTACAGGAAGAGGAAGAGACACCCACCAGTTGTTCTGTCTGGCCATAAGACGCCCTCTGCCATGTCAGGATACGGCCAGAGGGCCTCACCAGAAGCCAAATGAAGTTCAGCACCATGCTCTTTGACTTCCCAGCTAAATAAACTTCTAAATTACCTAAGCTGTGCTATATCACTATAGCAAAAATAAAAAATAAAAAAAAGATAAATATAGTTAGTAAGCTGAAAAAAGAGAACTATAAAAAAGAATAATATACACTACAGAAAATAGGGGGGAAAAGGTTAAAAAGGAACACAATGAACAAATACCAAGACAGATTTCAAGCCAAGCACATCAATAATCCCATCAAATGTAAACGGCATAAATATCCCCAAATAAAAGGAATTATCAGGAATCAAGACAGGAGTTATTTTTAATACCAGTGTGTATATATATATATATGTGTGTGTGTGTATATATAATTTTTGACATTTCTGCCTTTAGGAATTGGAACTTTACCTCCTTTTGAATATGGACTAGACCTAGAGTCTTGCTTCCCACAAACAGAATAAAGTAGAAACAAAACTGTGACTTGAGGCTACAGGATAAAATACAATGTGCAGCTTTCTGCTTAATCTCTGTTATATCACTCACTCAGGAGAAGCTCACTATTGTGTTGTGATGGCAACCAAGCAACACCATGGAGGCCCATGTGGTGAGGAACCAAGGCCACTAGCCATTAGCTGTGTGAGTGAGAGATGTTGAATGCAAATCTTCCAACTCTGGTCAAGCTAGTACTAGTCCTGGGAGACATCTGACTGCAAGTTCATGAGAGATCTTAATCAAGAACCACCTGTTACGTTGCTCCTGCATTCCTCACTCCCAGAAACTGAGAGATAGTATTTGCTACGTTAAGCCACTAACATTTAAAGTAATTAGTTATGTGGCAAAATATAACCATTTTAGACAGCTTCATTACAGATCAAGAACATAAAAGGATAACCAGGGAATATCATAAATAATTTTAAGCCAATAAATGTAAAACCTAGATCAAATGAGCAAATTTCTTTAAAGACACAAACTATCAAAGCTCATTGGAGAGGAAAAGATAACCTAAAAATAGACTACATCTTTTTAATCACAAAATTAACTGTATACCAGATTACAGAATAAAGTATCAATAGGTTACATAAATTTTTAATACTGTCTAGTCATAATGCAATATAAGTAGAGATGACAAAAGTAACAGTCACAAAGGACCATCCACCAAAAAGCATTTAAAACTGTCTATTAAGCAGATCCTGGGTGCAATGGAACTACAAACTGAAATCTGACAACTTCCAAACAATGGTGATAATATTACACGTGTCAGCATCTATTTCGGACATTTCTTAAGAAAAGAGCCTTTTTTTTTTTTTTTAAAGGCAGCGAGAGATAAAGATATCTTCCATCCTGCAATTCACTCCCCACATGCCCACAATAGCAAGGGTTGGGCTAAACCAGGCTGAAACCAGAAGCCTGAAACTCATTCTGAGTCTCCCACACAGGTGAGAGACCCAACCACTTGAACCACCACCTGCTACCTCCAGAGTGCACACCAGCAGAAAACTGGATTCAGAAATGTGGCTGGGACTCACATCCAGGCATTCCAACAAGGGATACAGGTAACCCAAAAGGGAATGTTGTGCCAATTGCTCACCTTCTCGTCTACGAATACTTTTAAAGGGACCATGCTGTGACGTAGCAGGTCAACCCGCCGTCTTCACTGCCAGCATCCCATATGGGCGCCGGTTCTAGTCCCAGCTGCTCCACTTCTGATCCAGCTCTCTGCTATGGTCTGGAAAACCAGTAAAAGATGTCCCAAGTCCTTGGACCCCTCCACCCGCGTGGGAGTCCCAGAAGAAGCTCCTGGTTCCTGGCTTCAGATCAATGTAGATCCTGCTGTTGCTGCCATCTGGGAAGTGAACCAGCAGATGGAGGACCTCTTTATCTTTCTCTGCCTCTCCTTTGTGTAACTGTGACTTTCAAATAAATAAATAAATAAATCTTAAAGAAAATACTTTTAAAACAGTGATAAGAGTAAAATGTAAAGCCTTAAAAACATAAAAATGTGGGGCCAACGCTGTGGTGCAGTGGGTTAACACCCTGACCTGAAGTGCTGGCCTCCCATGTGGGCATCGGTTCAAGACCCGGCCGCTCCACTTCCCATCCAGCTCTCTGCCATGGCCTAGGAAAGCAGTAAAAGATGGCCCATGTCCTTGGGCCTCTGCACCTGCATGGGAGACCTGAAAGAAGCTCCTGGCTCAGGATTGGCACAGCTCCGGTCGTTGCGGCCAATTGGGGAGTGAACCAGCAGATGGAAGACCTCTCTCTCTCTCTCTCTGCCTCTCCTCTCTCTGCATAACTCTTTCAAATAAATAAATAAATCTTTAAAAAAAAAACATAAAAATGTGCTCTCACTGGCTAAATCTGGGACACTTAAAGCATAAAGTAATGGTTAAAATCATAAATAACTTTTTTCATTCCTTTGTCTGATCTGATATAAATAAATGGAAATGAAGGAATTCCATTCATAAATACATAAATTCATAAATACAGAATTCATAAATACAGAATGACGAAGTTAGAATAGATTACAAACTGGAGGAAGAGTTGTTAAAACAGGACTATGTGTGTGAAAGCTTGATGCTTCAGAATACGTCCCAAAAAGTTCCTATTAATCAAAAAACAAAAATCTGGCAGATGCTTAACCAGGTGATCAAAGTTAACATAATCAACAATGGTAGCAGCTAAACTCAGAAGCTGTGAGAACACAACCAAGTTCTTTGTGTAGTATCCCTGCCCAAATGTGTAACTTGAATTCAATGTTGAGAAAATGTAAGTCAAACCCAAACTGAGGGACAATGTCAAGTTCACAAAAAGCAATGACAAGCAGAGGAACTACTCCAGGTTAAATAGACATAACAACTAAATGTAATGTGGGATCCTACATCAGACAGTGGAAGTTAGGGGCAGGGGAGGGAATAAAGGGGATAACTGTGGGATTAACAAAATTAGAATACAGATTCTAGACTACATAATGGATTTTTTTCACATTATCAGTGTCCAGGTTTTGATAACTACACTGTGGCTGTGGATGAGTATGCTCTTGTTTTTATATACACTGAAGTATCAAGGGATCAGGTGGCACTATGATTTCATCTCCAATGGTTCAGGAAAATAATGTGTATATACACCTACCACAAATACACACACGATCAATCTAATGCAATGTGAAGCAGTGAATCTAGGTAAAGGATATGCTGAAATTCTCATACATCTTGCTACTACATAAACACGAAATACATACAGAACACTTTCTGACAATTTAAGTGTTTAGGTTCAGATTTAAATAAGCTTCTTATAAAAGGTATAAATTGGAATTGTAGGTACTGCAATATGAAAATGTCACCTCATTTCAATGCTGCCAGCTCACATTTCTAAGACAGTTTAGGAGGTCCAGGCACATTAATACAACTTTCCTTAATGTGCTTAAAATTAGGTGTAACATGGTTTCTGAGAAAAGTGTAACTTGGTAATACTAACTTTTCTAAATGTCTGAATCAAATTTTTAGGTAGGTGATTCAACAACCTGGAAAGAACAATGAAGTCCTTCTTCTATATGTAATATCAATTTTAATCACTACTGCTTGGGATAGGCACAATTAATGGGAAGACCTGTGAAAAGCCTGAGCCTGCTGTGTAATCTGCCACTAACTCGACTTTCTCCACAACAGGTGAGCGTTTCACTCAGGAGTGGATTTCATAATGCACTCAAACACATGCACTAATTTCCAGGCTATGACTCCTAGGCTGTTTATGATCTCTCATGCGATCAAGGCCAAGTTAGTTATCTCTTCGGTTTTCCGAAGCCATGACTTCCTCAACTATCAGAATAATTTTTTCCTGAGTATTAAATGAGAACAGAACAGAACCTAGACAGCGCTTAGTAAACCTAAAAACTCTACAGGTGACAGGTGCAATTAACTCTTTAAGAGAGGGCACTAGAATCGGCAAAGGTAATTAATTCCGCTATCAAGACTTCCTATAAAATATCGAAACTGACGGTGCCCAGGTACACACAACGTGGAAAAGTGTCAACATGGGTTTTCCCTCCAAAACGCTCTCGGCACACAAAACCCGGAGGTAATTCGCTGGAACTCCCCTGCGAACTGCCGCCGACACACGCAGGGTGGAGGGTGTTAGAATCCTGGAGGTCAAAATTGGCGGAACCAACCCGGGCAGGCACGGGCTGACGCTCGCAGCGGCCAGAGGCGAGAGCTCTATGCCGCGCGCGCCTCCCAGCGCCCCAGGAAGCGCCGCGACCCCGGCTCCCGCGCGGCGGCCACGGCGAGGGCCGAGTTTTCCGCGACTGCAGCGGCCGCAAAGCTCCAGACCCCCGACTGCCGCTCCGAGCTGCCCCTCGCAATCCCAAGTCCGCGCCCCAACCCCGCAAGTCACAGACTGCCACGGGGGCAGGCGAGGGAGGCAGTGCCACAGCGGACGACCGGGCGGGTACCTGAGCCGAAATGAATCCCTCATACACAGTTTTCGCCCGGTTCTGAGGCAGAAGTAGCGGGAACTGGCGCAACAGGCTCGCTTCCGTCCCCGCCATGGCTAGCGGGCCCGGGCAGGGAGGCTCTACACGGGCCAGGCGCCGCACATGCGCAGTGATGCACGCCGCAGGCGGAAGCGCGGGTTTGGCGGGAAGAGACTGCAGGATTCCTGGGGCACAAAGGCAGAGGTAGAGCAGGCCGGGTAGCCCGGGCCTCGACGGGAGGCGCCAGGGGGCGTGGCCTGAGGGTCACTGGTGTCACCGTGTAGAATCGTTCTAGCCTTAATGAATGCCAGAGGCCTTTGGGTTTTTGTGCCTGAGCCTGCTCAAAGATTGCTACAACTTCGTGGTAACGTTGCTTCCAGCCTAAGATGGTTTTAACAGACTGGGTGTTGTGCCCCGTTTGCTCCCCAGACCTTTCTCACGCCCCTTCCTCACTGTTGGCCTCAGGGGTTCCTGTATGCCCTCCATGCACAAAAATATGTTCTCCCTACTTAGTACTCTATTGGGATACATCCATATAGTGTAGACATAGTCCTAAGCCTTACCAGTTTAATCTGATATTATTTTTTTTTTTTTTTTTGACAGGCATAGTTACACAGTGAGAGAAAGAGAGAAAGAAAGGTCTTCCTTCCGTTGGTTCACCCCACAAATGGCCGCTATGGCCGGTGTGCTGTGCCGATCTGAAGCCAGGAGCCAGGTGCTTCCTCCTGGTCTCCCATACGGGTGCAGGGGCCCAAGCACCTGGGCCATCCTCCACTGCCCTCCCGGGCCACAGCAGAGAGCTGGACAGGAAGAGGAGCAACCGGGACAGAACTGGCGCCTCAACCAAGATCGGAACCTGTTGTGCCAGCGCCGCAGACAGAGGATTAGCTTAGTGAGCCATTAAAAGACATACCCATACAGTGGTTAACTTGATAAGTACATTTTTCTTTGGATATACATTTTTCTAACTCAAAAATGGGATTCATTTCCTTTTACTAAAGATTTGTTAAATAAGAAGCTTATTAATAGTTACCATGTAGTTCTTTGATATTCCAAATAGTATTCAATGCATCACATTTTTGAGCCCTGCTATTTACAAACCACTGTTGTGCTATGCCAAAGGTTGTGCAAAGAAGAATCAGATATGCCCTTCCATCTTTACTGCCCTCAAAGTGGAAATGTAGTTTTTGAAGAGTCTTAAAATTCTATAAGAATTGTCAGGGAAAGCAAGAAGGCTGAGCAGTGGTTTGATATAAGTTACATAAAAGCAGTGTTTCTCAAAATGTGACCCTGGAACAAGGAGCCTCAGCATCACCTCTGAACTTTATAGAAATGCAGATTTTCACCCTTGATGGGGTTCAGGACATCCTACTTGAAAATATGACATCAGGATTTGGTTGTGGTGCAGTAGGGTAAGTACTGTTAACATGGCATCCTAGAGGGGTGCCAGTTCCAGTCCTGGCTGATCCACATCTGATCCATCTCCCTGATAATGCACCTGGGAAAGCAGCAGAGATGGCCCAAGTCCTTAGGCCCCTGCTATCCATGTGTGAAACCTGGCTTCTGGCTTCAGCCTGGCCCAGCCCCTGCTGCTGGGCCCATTTGAGGAGTAACCCAGCCCCAGCAGATGGAAGATCTTTCTTGAACACTGCCTTTCAAATATAAATAAATAAATCTTTTTAAAATGGCACCTTGGCATTTGAAAAGATAGCAAAGCCTAAGAAAGTCACGTGCTGACCTTCTCCTTACTTCTCCCCTGAAGCAGCTCCTAAGACCCTCACATGAAAGGTACCCTTATCCCCAGAGGAACAAACATCCTCCTCTGAAGACGGAGAATCAGAGAAGGATCTGCACAGATCTTGTTAAGTTCCCCACTTCATTGCCATTAGATCGTACCACCTTTGTCCAATCATCCCTCCTCACAGCTCTTCATTATTTTTTTTTTAATTAAATAAAAAATTTTTTATTATTAGTTTTTTTTTTTAAACTTTTATTTAATGCATATAAATTTCCAAAGTACGACTTATGGATTACAATGGCTTCCCCCCATACCGTCCCTCCCACCCACAACCCTCCCCTTTCCCACTCCCTCTCCCCTTCCATTCACATCAAGATTCATTTTCGATTATCTTAATATACAGAAGATCAGCTTAGTATACATTAAGTAGGGATTTCAACAGTTTGCTCCCACACAGAAACATAAAGTGAAAAATAATAGATGATTTTTTAAATGATGATGAAATCAGATCAGACCTATTGTCATGTTTAATCCCAG